AAAAGGAAGGACTTCTTGAGTCTTGAAAATCAAGATGCAGTGTATTTGGGACACAAGGCAGGGAGGCATGTGCACATTGTTCATTGTGTAGTATTGCAGAAACATCTTGCAAATGCAAGAAAGGATGCTAGAAACCCTCAGCTAGGTTACAACTGCAATAGTTGAAAAGAGACATAAAACCTAAGAAAGGAGTCTAACATTTGGATTTTAAATGACTAAAAAAATTTGAACTTAGTCATTTAAGCAAAAAAATCACACCTGCTTAATTAGTTTAAATTAGGTATTAGAAATCATAAGAATGATAGTGCTCTGGATTTATTTGGATCTTATAAGCACTCTGATCCTTGAACTAGAAATTTTTAACGATGATCACTTCTAGGGACCCACCCTTTGTGCCTGTCCTCAGATCAGAGGTAGCAAGCCTGGGCTTCCTCTGCATCTCTATGTGTAGGTGTGCAAGTTATGCATACACCCGAGTGCTCACCCTATGTTGGGCTTTCTTAGCATCTCACCTCCAAGTTGAAGAAACTCATTGACACTGATGAGGAGAGCGTGAAGCTTTTGGTGAATGTTAACACATTCTTTATTGAAAATAAGAAAAAGTTTCTTGAAAATACACAATGGCTCAGAAGTTTTATGAATTCAAAATGACCTCTTTTTTTCAATTAGTCCATTTATTTTTTGAGTTTTAACACAGGTAATAAAACTCTGTGCCTGTTACTTCCTCTCAAAAGAAGTGCTTCCAATGTCCTTGAAAATCTAGTCTAAATCTGAAAGCTAAAATTAGTGCCCATAACTGTAGTGATGTAATCTTTTGGGAAAAGATGTTTGAACATTAGATTATCTGAAGAAAAAATAATAGTTGTCAAATTTCAGTCAAATTTGTCCTGGAGAATGTGGTCATAGTCTCATTCTGGAACTGCCATTTAACTTTTCAGTGGTTTAATTCTAGTTATAGAGAGAATGACTTCTGGAGTAGTCAAACAGAAAACATCACTGTATCCAAAACGCTTGTTTGTGCCAAATCAGACTTTTTTTTTTTTTTTTAAATGGTGTTGGTGGGGTTGAAAACAGGGCCTTGCACATGCTAGACAAGTGTTCTACCACTGAGCTGTATTGCTAGTCCTTATATTTTCAAGACAGGGCAATTCTGTATAGCCCAGTCTGGCCCTGAACTGTGATCCTTCACCCTCTGCCTCTTGAATGCTAGATTCAAGCCACCAAGCCTGGCTCTAACCAGTTTTCTTTTTCAATTTAGTGTTTCCTAAATAGTTCAGGTCAGCAATGACTAAAAATTTCTGAAGAGTATAATCATGAATGAGCTATGTAATTAACATTACCCTTAAAATCTGTTAGCGGATTAAACTCAGCGATTTCTATTACAGTGTTGCTTACACTGCTTTGCTTCTTAGCATTGCTTTTGTCCCAAGGCAACTTTCCCAGATCTTTTTTGTACATAATTGATACTTCCCATAAGTGAAAGAAGAGAGGTCTGGAGTTAACTTTCTTATAGTGCCCATTCCCCTTGTAATACCCAGCCAGCCTCCTCCAATCAAGCCTGTTTCTCCATACTATCAAGTTGTGTGATACTAAGGCCTCTGCTTGAGACTCCGTCCTAGCAGTTGGGGGCCACAGACTAGAATCTATTAGACCAGGGCTCTCTTATCCAAAATTTTTTTTTCAGGGTTCAGATGCTCAAAAAATTTCCAAACAATGATATGATTAAATTTCTATTCATAAAGAGAATGGAAATATTTGAGCACATTGGATTGACTCCTAACCATGCTCCCATCAGGGATCCCAAACCAGATTAGACACTGTGGATCAGGAGAGGGAGGGGGCGGGGGACAGGGGGAAGAAGTGGCCCAAACAATGTGTGCACATGTGAATTATGAATAAAAAATTAAAAAAGAAAAAATCAAATGCTATTCTGAGAAAAAAAATAAAAGAAACTTCAAAGGGAGACAGGATACAAGGAAAGCTTTTGTTATTTAAGTCATAAAAATTTGTATATGATTCTAAGGCAAAAATAGCAAAAGATACTTGGACTACCAAAAATTCATACAAGAAAACCTTACTGAATAAAATTTAGTAAAACAAGAATCACCTAAATGTTCCTACTGCCTGGCATGTCGTTCAACATTCAGAGCTATTTGCTCAGTATCTCTTCTGTGGCTAACTTTGTTGTGAACTTCAAGTGCATCTCTGAACAGAATGTATGAAATCACTGTTCTTCCTTGTGCTTGTATCTTAGTGACAGATTAGACTGAGGAGTAAAAGATATACAATGGTAAAAGGTCAATACCATAGGGGAAAAAAACCAAAGGAGTATAGAGGGTAAGAAAGGCCTTATGGGGGTTGTAGGAGACAGGGAAGGAGACAGTCAGAGAGAAAATGACACTTGAGTACAGGTCAGTATTTCCTAGTGTGGTAGGAGTTGTCAGGGAGATGAGGATGGCAGGGCAAACCCTAGTAACTGCACTGACTTTTCTCAGTGAGTTGGTGATTGAAGAGTTACGAGCAGAGAAGTTAAATAATCAGACGTAAGTTTTAACAGGATCATTCTGGTTTTATGATGCAGTTTTCATCAGGGAACTAGTCATAAGTTTGGACATTCAAAAATAGTTCATATAGTTCACTTCTGAAAATGTTATGTGCTTATTTATGTAGTTTTTACTAAACGCAAAAAACTAAATGCAAATAACAACTGTAAATATGTATTTGTTCCTTTCCTTTTAGTGTTACTCACAGTACATAGCTAAGACATAACTAAGGTCACTCAAACTTACTCCCCTGCTTATGGGAAGTAATGATATAATATTTCAACTCTAACAACATGCTTCAACTCTGTGAAAGACTTCTCTAAATTTTCATAAACATACTCCATACTAAGTCTACTCCTCTTATCCTCCTTAGAATACTATTGCCATATCTTTCCTGTTTGACCTTTTAAGCCAACTAAGGTCACTAAAAATTCTTCACCATTGTACCTTTTGTTATTAACCAAGATAGTGGTTAACAAGAATGAGTGTTCATGTGAGAGTCTAAGCAGATATTTGTACATTATATATTTTTGAACAGTTTCATGTGTTGGTTTTGCCAATCAAGGAATCTCCTGTAAAGCTGGTCAATTTCTTTATTTTCCACACTGAGCACAAGTCTCAGGTTACCACAGATACTTAATAAATGCCTGAGAGTTTGTTTTTAATCCTTTATTCCATTTCTATAAATATAGCTATCATGATGAGACTAAGCTACTAAAAACTGATTTTCAATGAAGGAATGTCACTGAGGAGCTCAAGGGAATGGGTGATGATAGAATCTAGGTAAGGAAATGTCTGTGCATTTCACTTGGATTCAAGGGACCAGGGTCACTGTCCTCTTTCCTAGGTTCTGAATACATACATGTAGTGCTACCCACTCAAACAGCAGTTAACTCATGTATCTCTTAATTTTTGCTTTACCCCCTTGCTAGTTTTTTCATGAATTTTTATTGGTAACATCTGTTGTAAACATAAGAAGCCATTATGTTGAAAATATTATGTTTTAATGTATGAATATAGTCTCCCATAATAAGTAACTAATTGATTAACAGTAGAAAATAATAAAATGCTTTATTTAGGAGTTTATATTTGATATTTATGATATATTTCTATTTATGAAAGACACACATTTAAAATAGAGCAATTATTATACTATCTTTTTTATTATTTGTGTATAAGATTATGACATTCAAAATTACAGAGAAGATATTTCTCAATATATTCCTGTGTAGATATGCATTTGACATTCAATAGAAATACAAGTCTGCTATCTCAATGATGATTGTTCTTAAGTTGATTTTGCATGTAGATATCACCTTTAGAATCTCAGTAGTAGAGACAATGAAATTATATATGCATGTGTCAGGACTTCTTACATCATCTTATTATCAAAAAAACATTTTTTTTTCACTGACATATGTTGCTTTCATTAAAAAACAGTAGTGATTATAAATGAAAATGAGTGTACTGTTGGATTTCACAATTTACATTGCTTTCTAAAGATGAAAATTAACATATTTTGGAGTTCTCTTTAAATGAGATGTGGCTTTCACCTTCTTTGAATGTTCAGAAGATCAGAGAGTGGGCAACAAGATGGAAAAGTGACCATCACCTGTGCTTGGGCATTGCGACTTGGAAGATTTCAGAACAGTGCAGTTATATAGAAGTTTCAAATCTGAGGCCATAGGCTGAAGTTGCTTTTTGTTTTACAACATTTTGTTTTGCTGTAAGAAGGTGAATTATTTCCTGTGTGTCACAAGCCTCAGTATTCCTGGCTATCTTCTTCTTTGCCTGGTTTATACTTCTGTGGACTAATATTTATTTAAGTTTTATAATGATACATGTTGTGCTTGAAATGTATACTACCCAACTATTGAGGCAAGGAAATTTTAATAGTCAAAAGGTTAAGTTCATTAATTTTTCTTCAAATCTCAAAATAATTGAGATGTAGTTTTATAATCAAGACAAAGAACTAACTCCAAGTAGAAGCCTGGGCCCAGAAGTTATACTTAAATCCACAGCATGATGAAAATGGGGTTAAAATTACCCAAGTTATCTCTTATCTCTGCATGGATACATTCTATGTACCACTGAGATAGTAAAGAAAAGGGAGAGGGCAGACAGAAGAAACCATATTGAGTTCTCATCTATGACTAGATGAGCCATTTCTTTTTTAAAGGATAATATATTTGCTTATAATTCAGCTTCTTAGCCCATTAACACACAGTATTCAAATTTTAGTGAATAAACTTTAAGGAGAAAAATTTTCAGATTTCACTTGTAGTAAAATCAATTGGGTAATTTTTATGTTGCTAAAAGGAAAAAAGAATCCTGTTATTGTGTGTCAGCACTCATTCAAAGGTCACAAAGGATTATTGATTATTTAAAAACAGTGTCATTAAAAATGATGACAGGCATTTGCTTCAACGTAGTCTAAACCTTTACTATCTACTTCAGGCATGACCTTCTTGAAGAAGCTCGGAGAAAAGGATTACCCTTTGCTCAGTGGGATGGACCCACTGTGGTTGCTTGGCTAGAGGTAAGAGAATCAAACAAAACATTTTTGAGTCAATCATTACTAATTTGATACTTTTTTTAGAGAGAAAGTAAAGACAGGTTTCATCAAACAAAACATTTTTGAGTCAATCATTACTAATTTGATACTTTTTTTTAGAGAGAAAGTAAAGACAGGTTTCTGAAATCAAACCTGTTTTCCCAGGAGCATAGAATGCTCATAAAGGAAATACTTGTTTTATCTATAGACTTCAGAACATTGTGATTTCACTCTGATACTTTCTTGTGATTGTAGCAGAATGAAGCATACAGTGGGATAAAAGGGGATGTCTCTAAATTTCCCTCTATGAATAATTATGGATTAATAATTAATAAGCTGGACTTCTGTTGTTGCATGGAAACATCTGCTCCCATCCACTAGTCCTCATCAACAGGTTTCATAGAAGAGTTGAATATTGAATATTTCTGTTTTCCAACATATAAAGGCCACCTAATCACACAGAGTTGTCCCTTTGCTTATAATTTAATTACTGAACTTAATTCTTAAACATTTAGAACCAACTAGGTTTAGACACTTGAGATAAAGCAGAAGATTTATTCCCTTGCTCCATTTTGTGTTCAAATTGAATGAACATTCAGTTTAATCCATATTAGTTTAATTAATTAATTAAATTTAGTTCAAGTAAATAAAACCAGAGCTACTTCATCATTTCTTCCATAGTATAGAAATCTGGAAAAATAAAGCAATATTTGAGCAGGGTGAAGGGCACCAGCAGCAGAACTTGACAGTGGGGGAAATATATACTTGACCACAGAGGACCTTTTGTGTAGCTTATCAGTAGCTTTCCCTGCCCTATTCATTCATTTCTCCAGTGTGGGCTGTAGTAGCTACTTGGATATGTCAATGTCAGGGGAAAGAAATAGATGCTTTTCTTGCCTGGCAGAGGCAATAGCACACATTGTTTTAAGTGGTTTTGGATTATAAAGTCGCCTGCCTTCATTATCATATCATTTCTAGAACTAAGTAAGTAACCAATGTAGAAAAACTAAAGTACATTTTGGTTTAAAGAATAGACTTACACAGATAAACACAAACACATGCTTTGCACTTTTCTTGGACAAACACAAGTTTGTGTCTTGCTTTTATTTTATTCTCTCATATCAGTCAGGGAAATTTTAGCATACTAACAATCAAAGTCACTTCTTTCAAACACATCTTCTGAATTACTATATTTTAAAAATCAATTGCAAGACAAAATCAAGACAAAAAGAATGATACCTCAAAAATGATAGGCCTTCTTTGTTCAGATTTCAGTCTGAAAAAATGAACTGTAGTTTGAAAGACTTAGCTGCTATTTTGTCAAGTGATGAACACATCCTTCAGATTAAAAAAGAAACCATAAGATTTATTGACATGGTGCTAGGAAATGACAAGCAGGGAAGATGGTGCTAATTAAACCCATCCTGAGCACACAGAAATTGCTCATAGTGTGATTCCCAATGTGACTCAAATTATAAAATGGAATAAACAAGATGAATGAGCCTGGTGAACCAATGAATGAGAGCTCTTAACATTCACCCCCTTTTGCACCTCCTTGAGTGCACAGTCTATAAAAAAATGTAGGAGGGAGTGTATTGCTTCACACATTTATCTGTATCAAAAACTCTTTAAAGTCTAATCACAGATGACGCTGGTAAAAACATATTGGCAAGAATTGAGTAATATTAACCAGAATGGAAATCCAAATATCTTAGGAGAGAGGGGTAGAAAATCATTAGGATCCAATGAAGGTGTATTTAGATGCTCAGTTATTTCAAACATTTTGATTTATAAATTAAACAGTCCTATCTTCTTTCATCTCTAATGCACCTAAGTTAAATTCTCTGTGCCTCACCTGCTGAAAAATAGTATTTAGATCCCCTCTCTGCTTTATTATTTTTTTTAAATCAGTCACGGGCTACATTGGCTTAGAGATATGTTTTTTTTTTTTGTTTCTTTGTTTTTTCCCTCTCTGTAGTCTCTTAATATTGTAGCATATGTAGAATAAAAGGATACCTATATTAGTTATCAACTGCTGTGTAAAACATCACCCCAAATATGGCATTTATTCTCTCAGAGTCAGGTATTTATTCTAGGGTCAGATATAAGTAGGCAGGTGGGAAATCTGGTTTGCTTACTCTGCATGATTTGATCAAAATCACAGAGCTGGTGATGGGAGAGTGGCCTCATTCTGTGACAGAATTTCTCCTCACTCAGAATTGCAGAGGAGAATTATAAATTGAAGCTGCTCGTTAGACTAACATTGATTGATCCCCCTAACCCAATGCAACTTACAACTATTTTTCTTGTTCTTACACAGAAGGGGCAATTTGATGCTGTGCAGCTATTACCTTTATCCTTTGTAATGCATGTTTGTGGTTAAAATGCAATCTCTAAGGCAGAATTCCTCAATTTCAAATCTTGGTTCCCTTGCTACCTAATTAGGGTTTTTAACAAATTACTTACTCTCTGCTGGCATCTGTCTCTTCTGAGGAAAATAATAATAGCACTTATTTCATGACGTTGTGAGCAATAAATTAGTTCATAAAGACAAGGTACTTAGAGTATTTTTTTGATATAAAAGACACTAAAATGTTAACTACTAGTATTATAATCTGCATTTGTATTTTTTCCTTCCCAACAGCTCTGGTTGGGAATGCCTGCTTGGTATGTGGCCGCTTGCCGAGCCAATGTGAAAAGTGGTGCCATCATGTCAGCTTTATCCGACACGGAAATCCAAAGGGAAATTGGAATCAGTAATCCTCTACATCGCTTAAAGCTCCGGTTAGCTATCCAGGAGATGGTTTCTCTAACAAGTCCTTCAGCTCCTCCAACATCACGAACTGTAAGTTAATTTGTGTCTTCTCTTTCCCCAATTCTGGGCAAAGAGTAGAATGTCTAACACCATAGAGCAAAATGTGACAGCACACATTTCAATGTCAGAATGAATTATTCTAAAGAGATTTAGCTTACTCTTTATTAACTTTTCTGCTACTTTTAATAAGTTTTCAATTGAGCAATTATGATTCATATCAGACTTGAAGGCTGCACCCATTATAGGCTTCGGAGCTAGCATTAGACTACAGTTTAGATTTTCCCCCCAAGCCAAGAGATCTTGAGCTTAGTTTTAGAGAATTTTCTTTCTTTCTTTTTTTTAATGTAATCAAGTGTCTTCTCAAAAGATGAGCAGCAAGTATTATTGTTCTCTGGAAATGTAGTGCTTAACTCAATATTCCTTGGGCAAATTTCATAATTGCAAAATTATACAAAGTTTGATTTTCTACAAATAGCAAGTGGAATTCCTTATTCCATCTAAAATCCATAGTCCTTTTATAATTTTATCCCCAATCTAATAGTTGGAAAGAAAATGTTGTGCAAAAGGCATGCAGGATGGCAAATTCAACACCAAGAAAAACTCTCAAATAATAATTCATTCTTTCTATATTTCACTTCTGAATTACATGTTTTGCTGTCATAGGATATGTTATTTAATGTCAACTAGATTTTTGAGTCCCATGTCTTATCCAACATCATAAAATATAGGAGAATAAGATAAATCTGACTGTGGAAAAAGGAAGTTTTACTACTTTATTGTAGTTTTCAGGTATAAAACTATCTGAAGTATAAACTTTCACATATGCCCTTAAGCAATATCAAAGAATTTGCCTCATTTCTATTATATTTGCACTTATTTTCCTCAAAATACACAAAATTCTAATGTCAAAAATACATTGAATTTGAAAAACTTATGTCTTCCATGCATAATCCCATGTTAAGTTCTTCCTAAATAATATATAAGAAATGTTATTAACTTAAATATGTATATGTATATAACTTAAAACTCCTACTTATGATATTATTTTAAGCAAATGTAGTAAAGAAGTACTATAGCTAGAGTATCATGAAAGATAAAAGATAATTCCGGATACATTTAAAATTAAAACTGAAGGGGATGCTATTGTCAGGGACTGCCGAAGGATAGAAAGGATGGGAGTAATACAAGAAGGTGGTAGAATAAACCACTAGTTGATTGGTTTGTAAGGAAGAGAGGGAAAGTTAGGAGAAAAGGAGGAGAAGAAAAAGAAAAGGAACAAAAAGTATGTGTAGAGGAAGTATTGAAAAAGTAAGGAGGAAAAATTATAATAAAAGTCAGATAAATTGAAAATTAAACAAAAAGAACAAAAAAATTTAGTCAAAATTTTGTCCTTGCTAAGGAGAGGAGTGGGTTTCTTATGAGCTCTATTCAGTAGACTGGATGTCCTCCTTCAATTTCTGGTCCTTAGGTTTTGTCTTCAGTGCTCACACTTCCCCCTCAGGGTGGCAGCCCTGCGCAACCATGGAAGTCTCTCTTCTTTCTTTTTAAAATTTATTTATTTATTTTTCATTTTTATTGTGCTGGGTGAGGGTACACTGTGGCATATACAAAAAATCTTACAATGTATCAAATATATTACACTTGAACTGAGAAGGTCATGAAAATAGTTACCATAAACTAGACTCTGATCTGCTGAGTTTTCCAGCCAAGAAAGAGGCATCACAACTGATTTGTATCAGTTGCTCTCCTTCAAGAGCAAATGCAATAAAACATAACAAAAATTTCAAATTCTGCAAAAATAAAAGCATGGGAAGTCCCAATGTCCAGATAAAAATTAAGATGTACGTCAGTATTTTTATTTAGTAACATAAGCAAAGTTCATTTCTTAATGGAAAATAGAAAAATAAAACATAACTTTTCTAAAAAATCTTTAACAAAACTGAAGCAATTCAAATTACAGAATACCAAAGATGAGACTCCACTCAGTTGTTTAAGAAACAGGCAGAAATGGAGTTTTGAAACTCTTAATTATCTAGCTGCAGTCCACTTAAGACTTTTTTCCTTCAGATCAGGATGCCAACAATGCAAAGCTGCTTTCAGTTTCTTAAGTTTCTATGCTGATTATGAAATTTTGCAATTGCTCTTTCTGCAGTTGTTCTGCCTGGAACATTCTCCCCACTCCAAGGTCACAAACTCCCCAATTCATCTGTCCTTTATGAGCCATGTATGTAATGCCTCTGAAAACCTTTTCCTAACACCCAAAGTTGGGATTGGTTCCTTGCTTGAGTTTCCATTCTGCGTACTTATAAAAAAACATGCTAAAAATTCTTCTCTAAATGTATCCCCCACTAGACAAAACAAGAATAGCATGAAGGTTAACCCCAGGCTTTCACTCATTGAAGGGGAATTGTAGTTACTCTGCAAATATTCATCTTAAAAGTGATCGTTATACAAGTAACTTCATCCACCATTATTAAGGATATGAACATGTATGGCCTCAGTTCAGACAGAGAAACTATACTGAGGAAGGTGTGTTGATCAGCAGGTTTAGCTTTGAAATGTGAAATATAAGCAAAGTGCTGGGAAGTTCTTGGAACTCAAAGGAGAAGAAAAAAATCACTTCTGGTTGAGTAAAAGCATCAGAAAGGAATTACTTGCTTACAGCATTCAAGCTTTATATTTGTTTTCAAAATTAGTAAATAATCTTGCTTAATACTTGGAATATATGGAAAAGTAAAAACCAAAAATTTAAAATTAATAAAATATGATTATAGAGATAACCTACATCAAGTTTTTTCACTCTTAGCCTGGTGATAGACTTTTATAGTTTTGTAATCATTTAATAAAGTTTTATTTCACATAATATATCATTTTGCACTTTTCTTTCAAAACTTATATATAACATGAATATATTCTTCATTTCAGTAAATACTAAATGACAATATCATATTTACTTTCTTCATATCTTCTTTATGGGAGTGCTATAATTCATATTATCAAATCACTATTATAAATTTTGCTTCTTTAACAATTTTTATTATGTATAAATTAGGTACACATTGCTGTATTGCACAATCTGTGGTCATCTCCATAGTAATATCATCTAAAATTATATATTAGGACTTATACTTAGAAAATACAAAAGCAGAGTTTGTTTGTTTGTTTTATTCATATGTACATACAATGTTTGAATCATTTCTCCCCCTTTACCCTCCCCCCTCCATAATCCCCCTGCCCCCTCCCTTTCCCCTCCACTCCCTCGATACCCGGCAGAAACTATTTTGCCCTTATCTTTAATTTTGTTGAAGAGAGAGTATAAGCAATAATAGGAAGGAACAAGGGTTTTTGC